CCGGGACGGGACGGGACGAGGCCGCTCCCGGCGGGCGGCCGTGACCCCCGGCCGGTCACGTGGCGGGGCTGCCCGCGGGGAGCGGCACCGGCACGGCCGGTAAACAGGCTGTGGCTCCGCCGCGGAGCCTCCTGGGAGCCGTAGTTCTACAGCGCGCGGAAGGAACTACAGCCGTGCCCGCGGGCCTATCGGAGAGCGGGGAGGGCGGGGCATTGCAGAGAGTCTGCTGCTATTGGGCGGCGGGGCTGGACACGGAGCCAATCGGGAGCGGGGGCGGTGAGGCGGGCGGGAGGCCGCGCGCGGGTCGCCATAGCGACGGGGACGCCGCTCGGCCGGGCCGGGCCGGGCGCTGCGGCGGCCGGGGGGAGTCGAGGGGACCGGGACCGGGACCGGGCCGGGGCCGGGGCCGGGTGAGGCAAAGCAAAGCAAAGCAAAGTCGCGGCTCCGACGTCTAGGCGGGAAGTAAGTCGAGGGCGCCGCCACAGCCGTGTTTGAGGAGGCCCTGAGGGTCCGGAGTGCGGTCCCTGGGCGGGGCCCGGGCGGGGCCGTGTCGCGCGTGAGGCGCCCCGAGCGGCCGGGCCTTCGGGGCGCCGCAGCCTACAGCGAGCCCGCGGCTGCTGAAATGTCCTCGGTCAGCCGGGGTAGAAGCAGTTGGGCAGATGTGTTGGAAAACTAACACATCTGTTGGTTCTGTTGGTTGGTTTTTTGAAGTGGTATCACAAAGCACCGTAATTGCTCTCTGTCACTAAGTTTTGGTCAATGTGTTAGGTGTTGTACTGCTTTTTAGCGGTTCTGAAGACAAGCAAATATTTTCCTGAGTTCTGTGCAAATACACCATGAGACAATTGTCGTTACAGGGTTTATGAACAAGTAGGGAAGCACTTAATTAAAAGTTTAAAAGACTCTTCTGGACTTCATACCCCACGTTATCATCGTATAACAATTTTTAAAAATTAGGTGGGGCATGTGGGCAATAGATGAGGTACAATCTGGCTTAATTCTTGTAATAGTTGTTGTTTACTGCCAATAATGAGAGGGAAAAATGCACAGAAAGCTGCATTGTCTTAGCAAGATTGCAAAACAAGAAATAATGAAATCTGGGCCTGTTACTTAATTTCTGTCTCCCTTTTGCACTCCATGTGTTTCTTTTTCATAAATAACCATGCAGGCATGATACTTAGTCATCAAATACTTTTCATCTCATTAGCCCTATTTCCATTTCTGTGATTGTCTGGCTTTGATTATTTATGAATATTAAATGACATCTCAGTGTCCAACAAGAAGGAAGATTGCTCTGTTTTTTCGGTCTATCGGTAATTTTCACTGTGGAAAGTTTAATGAAGGTTCATATTCACCAATAAAGCCCATCAAGGTAAATTATTGCATTGGTTTACATTACTCAGTCTCAAAACACCCTTAGGCTAAACACACAAAGGGCTAGCCTGTTTTATGATAGTCTACTACACAAAAATTGAATTCTAGAAAGCTAAAAAAGTGTCAAGAAATATCTTGGGACGTGACAGAGGCTAGAAGTTTGTTTTTTTTTTCCCAAGTCTTCAGAAATAGTCGATTTTGGGGAAAAAAAAAGCTACAAAATTCTCACCCTTGAGACCAATACCAAATTTGGATGTCAGATTGTTTGTCAGGGGGAAAGTTAAAGATATGTAAGAAGTGTGTTGCAATGTGCTATGACTCCACTAGATGACAGCCAGTTCAGCAAATAACTCTGTGGTCCGCTCCTGGGTGACTCCGCGGGGCTCACTGCTGCCTCCCTTTCCCTCTGGGTCAGTGCTGCTGCCCTTGATCCTTGACTCCCACCTCCTCTGGAGCGATAGTGCTGCTTTCCCACAGCCCCCTCCTCCTCCAGGAGCTTGGTATTTGCTGCTCCTCACAAAGGCAGAGGCTTATCAGCAGTAAACTGCATCACCTTTAATATTGTCAGGCTTTGCATGGTTGAGAAGTTAGTTCAAGAAACCGTTCCAAGATGTTTAAGCCTCAATTATGTTTATATTTCACTGTTGCTGTTGGGTTTTCTCATTTGATACAGTCTAAGCATGCATGGTTAAAAATACTGAACAAAACAGAGAAAAAGTAATTGCTGGGAAGAAGTTCTTTCTCCATACATATGAAATCTCATGTGTTTAATGTTTTACTTATGTCATCTATATTTTTTGCTATATTAATTCTGTTTAACTTTCATGCTTTTGTTTGGATCAAGTGGTAGGTATAGCATGTAGCATGCTACACTAGGGAAAGAATATTTATTTATTTTTTTGTTTTTGTCTTTCATTTTTTGACTTGTCATTTGCAGGAAAAGAAAGTTACATTAAATTTATAAGTGAAAATATAATTAGAACTCTTTTGATAGCTGCATGATTTCTTAGTGAATTACAATCCTTATTTGCCATTTTGCCAGATATTGATGGTGTATGCCAAATAATATTCAGTATTTTATGCAAAAGATCAAAAAACTCTAGAACTCATAGAAGTTCTCTAAGGTGATACAAAGTAGATTTTAAGCCAAAGCATTATCAGATGCACTTTTAGGCTGAGGTGAGGGAGACATTTCAAGGAAAGAGGAATTAAATAAGAAGTATTTACAGGAGAGGCTGTAGAAGGAATACATTTTTCCAACTTTTGTATTTGGAATTTATCACAGAACAACTATAAACTGCTGCAGGTACCCACAGAGTATAACCTTAGTCTGCCTGGACAAGATTAACTTTACTCATTTGCTCTAATTTTAATGAAGAAATAATGTGACTTTACTTAGGAAAATAGGGCCACCTTTATTTGTATTTGTTTTTTTTTTTTTTAGTGGTGCATTTCTGAAATGCTTCCTTGAATCTTCTTAGTTCTCAATGTGTGTCTAGAGCTCAGTAGTTAGGCAAATTATGTTTTGTTTGTTTCCTCCTCTGTACTTTAGCATTGCACAGCATGCAATAGTTTGGATTACAGGGATTTTCTTGTTTGTCACGCTACCAGAAATTTTCTGAGGAAAGTAAGTTCCTCATGGAAACCATGTGAAATGGGAAGTGAAATGGAAGTAAATCTTACCATTCGAATTCTCCTTATCTTAGCCATGTCTAATTAGAACTCCAGCAGATGAAGTCTGTGTGTGGCTTAGGGTGGTCCTATCCCAAATAGCAGAGATTTAAAAACAAAGGAAAACAGCAGAACTTGTGACAGGAGTTGTTGAGCAGTTTAGGTAGAAATTGTTAACAGTTTATGTTGTGCTCTCATTTTGCCAAAGTGAGGTTGTGCAGTCTAATCAAATAATCCATTCTGATTCACATGTCTTTGATAATGTCCTATTGTACATGGTGTAGTTTTAAATTCAAGCATCATTTAATGTTGGCATGGTTTTGTTGTTTAAAGACACATCTGTTCATGCTGAAGCACAGGTTCTGCCTGTTTAAAACAGAAGGTCTTCTACTTTAACATTAGGGAAAAAGCATTAAAAAATGTAGGGGGTGGAAAGAGGATCACTGTGTGATAGAATAAATTTTTGGTGCTCCTGTTACTATCTGTAGGTCTCATCCCTTCTCTTTGAAGAGGATATGGTAAAACTGAAAAGGTTTTGGAGAAGGATGAGGACAGTGGAAGGCAGAGAAGGGCTTTCATGCCAGTGACAGCAGGTGGATTGTCTGCTTCAGCCTAGAAAAAGAATTGTCAAATGATGATTCAACATTAGGAACAAACCTAGTGGCCTTGAAAAGTTGTGATTATTCAGTGACTCATCCAGTAAAAGAACTAGGTGACATCAAGGAGCCAGATTCAAAAACAACAAGAAGTGCTGGTTACTCATGTCATGCTGAGGCAAAATGAAAATCTCTATTCCCCTGGATTTTACCAATACTGAAAGTTTTGAGTGAGTTCAAGGAGATGCATCACCACACCATGACTGGTGGGTACTTCTGTCCCTCCCCAGGCAGCCAGTTGCAGGCTGGAAGTGTGCAGATAGTTGATTTGTCTTCATACATGGACCTGCATCTCTTTATGCTCAGAATAAAATTTTATATTTTGCACCTGTCACTATGAAAATAATCAATGCAGCTAAGTGTCACCTACCTCGGATTCTGCACTGATTTGTGTATGAACACTGCTGTTTGCTAGAGGGAGACAGAAGTAAAGATGCTGAAATTAATTTGGGGAATCTGAGTTCAGATTTCTATTATTATTGCTGCCCTGAAGCTGTTTCACAAGACAGTTCTCAGCCTGATTTGACCCAGGTTCCAAAACAGCCTTGTAATTCCCGTTCTCTGCAATTCTGTGTCTAGGATCAAGGCTGTGATATTGTTTGCAGTTCTACAGTTTGAAAACATCCTTACTTGTTGGGCTACTCCATGAAGTTAGAAATCATGACAACTTTCATTCCTATTTCAATTAGGCAGTTTATTTACCAGATACTTCAATTACACAAATTTTCCACTTTGCTTTTTAAAGTTCATAGATCGAATTTTATATAAGCTGAATTATGTATTTAGTAATGTAGTGGGTAATGGAAGAATGCTAAACTTATTTTAATGTCCCATAAACCTATGTATGCTTTGTTTATGTCTACCCCCTCTTAAAACTACATGGCGACAAGGGCTTGTTACACTAGCTGAGGCTGTCTAAAGGGTTTTCTCTGTCTCAGATTTCTATAGTTGTGTCTTAACTTAAAATTATAAACTTTTCAGATTCAGAAGATTTTTGTTTGGTTGTTCTCTCCCTGCCCAGGAAACTGGAGTCTTGGTGAGGACTCTTTGGTACTACTGTACTGGGAGAAGGTATATTTTTGACTGATGTCAACTGTATGTTTCACATACAAGTATTGATGATTATTCCTACACCCATGAAACCCTCACATTTTGGCATTGTTCTACTTAGAGTTTCTGCCACAGTGCTTTTCCCTCTGTCTAAATTCTAAGTTGAGAGGAGCAAATAAAACAACAGCAGACGTAAACACAAAATGCATATGCTAAAATATTCATCAGTTCTTTACAGATGAAAAATCACTTGCTATTTATAAATGTGTATGCATGTTTATGTGCAGTAACTCAGAGTTTATTTCTTGGCCTCTATGATGTTTACAGTTATTTCACAATGTTTTGACTCCTCCAGGAGGGATCATGAAATTGCTTTTTTTTTTTCCATAAGCAAATACAGACACTGAAAGCTCTCTAAAAGTCAAAATGTTCCTGAAGGAATTCCAAACAGTACTGAAGAAAGTAATAAACTTGCCAGTTTAACTTTCACTACCTTTATAGACTAGTGACTTTTTAAAAGGTGAATACAAGTGACAACATTTTTGTATCCATTTTCCCACCATAATTATAAAAATAAATTCTATTTTTCTTAACTGTCAGCTTTCTGGCTGTGCAATGCCAAATTGCACTGTCTGTTTCATTGAAAAGATCTGGTATATATTATAGAAATAGTCTCAAAATTTCTTCTTAATCTTATTACAGTTTTAATTTTGATTGTCCTTGATTTATAGTGAAATGCTCTCTTTTAAAAAAGATAAAGGTCTCCCATATATTATATGAAAGGTTAAATAATGTCAAGACTGCCTAATTTGAAGAGGATTCTGCATCTTTGGCAGCTGATATGAGTTTTACTGTGGTGCGGTTCCATAGCTGAATACAATGTGCTCTGCATAATAGCTAATGTAGAAAGACCTTCCGGTGTCAGGTGAACATTTGCAAAAGTTGACGTTCTTTCTCTCAAAATTTTGCACTAAAATACTGTGATATTGATCTGTCCATTCCTGTCACCTACAGCTTCAGTGAACTTGTGAAGCAATTCTTGAATTCCTCCATCTACACTCCATCTCCACTTTGATCTGTGCTTTGGTCTACAAATGCTCCATGCTTCCCTTATCTCACTATGTCATGGCAAGATTTCTGTGTGCCTCACAAATCCCTCTCCCCCTCTCTTCCCTCTGTAAGATGCTTATTGTCTATTGGATAATCCCATGTCTCTTATATCTTTCTCCTGAGATGTTCTTGTCACCTTTCATGCTTTTTCATGTAAAAGATTGGCATTTTAAAAATCTTTGGATATACAAAGCTCTTAAGATGCTGTTATGCCAGAAGATGGGTTTTTCAGATATTAATTCATGTTTGATGTAATGATGAGGACCTACCTGATGGACATTGCTGTCTTATCAGGGTACCAGGAGCATTGTATCCCCTTGTATTCCACCTCCCATTTCCCTCACCCACCTTGGCATTTTCACACATCTCAAAGAGTTCTGATGATTGAAGCTTGGAACATAATTCTCAAGTGCTGGAGCAAGATAGTAAACACAAAGTAAAATGATAGAAACTTTGTGGCATTAAGTCCCATCTTGCTGAGAAGTACTGAATGTCCTTGGTCTAACTGTTTCTAATGAAAGTAGCTAAGAGATTTCTATTCCTATATGACAGATATTATTATGGGATTTTCTATAATACAAATATAGCAAAATTATATTTTCCAATAACCCTGCTTGTTCCAACCTTCTTTAATTTCACTGTCTGTGCATTTATTAAAAGACTGTGTTACCTAACTGGAATAAGAACTTTCTTCAGGGTATTTTAATGATATCAAGAGTATATTAGAATGATAGTGCAGCCTCTTGCATGAAGTCTTTCATGAAGCTGTAACTGTAGAGTTACCTAATTTGCTCACATTGTGACTTCTATGGTTTGAACACAGGTCTGACATATTGATGTAGTGGCTTTTACACTACACATTTATCTTTTACAGTCATATGAAATTATGATCCCTGCATCTAATGTACTGTATTGGTATTTTTGTAACTTTCTAGAGCTTTAAACAATGAGTCAGGCTGATGAAGGAAGTGCCACTGACACGGAACTGGCAACTGAGAATGAGTCACCCACCTCTGTGCTGAGTCCAGCAGCTTCTAGCCAGGAGGAGGGACCCACTGACCTAACAGCAAGTCCTGCCTTTCAGTGTTTAGATGAGGTACCATGTGTCCCAGATTTCTCTGTCTGTAACAGTACAAAGTAATTATTCTGAGGTGTATCTTTTGCTGTTAATAATTGAAGGTTTCTACCATAGACTGTCTATATCATTCCCATTTCTTTGATTTTTTTGTCTAAGTGGTAAGAAAGTTTTGTGAAGCAGGGTCATATTCTTGCTGAGGATGCTGTGCTTGGTAGAGAATCATGTTATTTTTTTTCAGTGATTATGGCCTTAAGGGGAATGAGAATACAGAGGTCTTGGTTTTGGTTTTGTAATATTCTATTTGTAGAAGTAATTGCATCATGTTTTTTTAAAAGGCTCCGTAGCTGCAGGAAAAATCGCAGGTAAGTGGTTCCGGAGGTAGTATTAATTGATGATGGTGATAGAAGTAACGTTTTGGAACTCAGTTTCTTTTGTGATTTTTTTGGTGTTAAGGAGTCTTTCAGAATACTAGAAGTATTTTAAAATTTTGAGGATAAAATATATATCAAATGGAATCCTTAAAATGTAAGGCCAGAAGAGTCATTAAGTGATAATCTAATCCAAATTTGGCACTGAAGTAGATTTCTGCATATATTTCTCTAATTTGTTCTTAAATCTTTATTTAGTGGTGATAGCTCTTTGGATATTCTTTTCCAGCATGTCATCATTGCCAGCGTTTTATAAAAAGCTTTCCCTATATCCCAGTTTAATTTTCCTTTGTACTGAATAATTAAGCTTTCTTCTTGTCTTTTCCACATTAAAATGGTAGACCAGCCAATATCTGCCCTCTTTATAATAAAAACGTACATCTCTCTCTTGTATCCTTGTCAGTCTTTGTTCATACTTCATGTTTTTCTTGAAGTTCTTACCTGAAGTTGCTTTACCTTGCACTCTTCCCATTTTGGATCTGTCAGATCAGTTTGCTACCCTGGCTCTCACTTGCTGCCTACAATCTAAGGTCAGGAGAAAGGACATGGCAAGAATTTGTAGTGAAGGGGAAAATAGGACTGGACCTTTGCTATCCTGCTATTAGATCATACTGAACAGAGTTTAAAGCTGCTGCTTTCAGTCCAGTGCCAGTGTATGAGGAGCCCACAGCTTCCAGTATTGTTGCAGCACAAACCCCCTTTATTCTCAGTCCAAGGCTGCGGTAAAAGTGCCTCCACACTCCTAAACTGTATTTCTGCATTTCTGCTTTGTTTTCCTTATTTTTAATCATGGTGAAAACTAATTTTTCTAGACTTATTCTAGAAACTTATTAGATTATTTGCCTGATTTTTTCTCAAAAAAAAAAAAATTTCAGAAGAGGTTATTCTACTTATCAAATTTAAAGCTAACTTGTTTAACACTGATAACATTGCAAACCATTAATGGCAAATACAGGAAAATCTTAGTATTTAGAGTTGTTACCAACACAAGAAAAAACATACTGTGGAAAAACAAAGTAAGAAATTTACATAATATTTCATAAGTGAGGTCTTCTGGTAATTTTGTCAATTTCTAGAAGAGAACTATGACTCATTTATTTTACCATAATTCTTAACAGTTTGCACTTTACTGGTGAGTTTGGCTTTTCATCACTTATTCACATTTCTTCTCTTCCACTGATGTATTTGTTTTCTGCTGTTGAACTTTATACATAATTCAGGGATAAATATAACACTTTGGTCACCATAGAGGTTTCTTGCATTGATGCCGGCTTCAACTACTTGGAATAGCTTTCAGGATTTTTCCACAGAAGCAGAATTGTATCATATTATCTCAGTTTCACTGGCTGGTCGTTTATGCCTGTACACTATGTACTTATCAGAAGAGACACCTTTTGTTATTATAAGATTTCTTTAAAAACAGATATATGCCCTCTTCCTTTCAAGCCAGTTTTGTTTTTCTCATGTAAGCAGAAGATACTAAAACATACAAAGAGCAAGAATTAAAACATGTACACTATCTCTCCATTATCTTTAATAAAACCTTTATAGTAACATTGTTTAGCTTTGTGGGTTAAGTAGAAATATTGAAAACTTGACAGAGTTCAAACAAAAGCCACCCAATTCATCATGACTTCTTTTCACCAAGTGTTTTTATTTATTACCAAGTTGACATCTCCTGTTCTGTTGGTTAGGGTACTGCCATACATTCACAAAATGAACTTTCCACTTCTTTTAGCCTTTGTTGTTATGTCTTTGAGATAAAGATTTGTGCTCAAACACTACTAATTTAATTTCTTGAATTGTGAATCTTTCCTCATATCTTGTTTTCTTCTAGTATTAGAAATAAATCAATATGCATCTGTTAATAACTTTCATTGAAAACTACATAGTCTAGTACCTGTGATGACAAAAATATATTACTTGAATAAATGCCACATTAAGATGCAATAAATTATGCTCATTTTATTTTGATTTTTGTGCATTATAGGCCATGTATATATAATCTGTTTCTTAAAAAGCAGCAAAAAATGTATTGAATTTTGTCATACAAGTACATGTTTAAATTTAAACAGCCATTAATTTTATTAAATAGGTATTTAGTAGTAGTTAGCTTCAACAAAATGATCTAAAATTGTATCCAGCCTTTGCCTGCAAATTTATAATTTTTTGCAACACATGGTAATATAATACATTTAACCTTTCCCTTTATCCTTACAACATCCTTGCTACAACAATGCTGTTACTGCTAAAGCAGCAGAGGACAAACTGAAACTGTCATTTGTATAGAAGAAGCAACCAAACATGACATGAAATTGGATTGAATTCTCAAAAAGACAAGATTATGCGGAATGATAATCCTACCCATTCTCTTCATTTTTGTCCCCATAATTTTTGTGCTTCACCATATTGAACAGTAGCATTTTTTCCCCTCTGGCGACTCAAGTTGTGTTTTACTTTCCTCCACCTGATCCAGTCTTAATGGGAACATAATAAATCAAACATTATTTGTCATACTGATATTGTTGATGTTTAGGCACAAAAAAGGACTCCTACTCTATACATCTTCTCAATCTGGCAGTGAATCAAACAAAAAAACTCCAAAGAGAAATCAAATGGTGTGTGTCTTCTCCAAGTTGGAGGTGTTTTTACTCAAGGCAGTATCTTGTGTTTCTCTTTCTTTTGTTAGTATGTTTTTAGGTTAGAAAAGTATTTCAGTCAAATGTATACATCCATTTTAAAACCATACCAAAAAATGATTATGCAACATTTGTCTTGCATGCCTTTGCAGTGGACACTCAGAAGCAGCAGAAATTGTTCTGCAGAATAGTGCATGTGTGAATGAAAAGTGCTTTGCTGTTCTCCAGATCCAGTGAGCGGGTGCCTTGTTTGGAAGGTACCGCAATAATCCCTTCCTGCTAACAGACATCATCCATTTATTTGCTAAATCTAAACATACTGAAGAATAAACTCCTTTGGGAGATTTTCCTGTCTGGTCAATTGTAAACTATTGCATCTATATCCTATAAAATGATCAGTGCCCCCTATCTGATACCAGCACCAAATCTTTCCTTTGTGCTACTTTTTTTGATGGAAATTGTCACTATCATGCTACTTTTCTTCATCTCTGATGTCCGTGAATCCTGTTTCCATCAAGAAGCAGAAAGAACCTTTCATTAATATTTTTAATTACTATTTTGAAGCTCAGAGTCTTTCTGACATTACTGAATTTACACTACTGACTGCCAAAAGGTGTTGAACTGCTAATAAAAATGTTAACCAAAAATCTTAATTTTAGTGGAAGCATTGAGCAAAATCTCAATGTTTACCAAGAAATCAACTGTATGACAAAGAATTCTCAAGCAAATTTTGTTTCTGATTATATGATGTGGATTCATGTCTATCTGCTGTATGCAAGAGCTTTAATGTCAAAGAATGATGCATGTGTCTGAGGGGAGAAAGGTACTTCTCATTTTTCTCCTTTTTCTCATTTGTGCTTCAGGAAAGAAGAGGAAGTCACATAAAGGTTGACTACAACTTTCAAATCTAAATACTAAGAATAAATATTTCACATAATTCTTCAGTGACATAGAGACATCTAATACCATTCTAGAAATTAGAGTTGTTTCCAATTTCTTTTGGTAACAAACTGGTTTTTAATTCTCTCCTAACTTAGGTTAAATGGTGGGTGTAAAGGAGTTTCCTTTAAAAAAAAAAAGATTATTTATCTTTAAATGAAAAGTTTCTTAGAAAAGCTACCTTGGTAGATTAAGATAGACTTTTTTTTTTTTTTTTTTTTTTTTTTAAAAAAATACCTTTTTTTTTTTTTTTTTTGAATTCTTTTTTTATTGTGCTAATTTGTTTTTTGCTATTTTAAAGTATGATCATCACTATATTTTTGCATGGTAACTATAGCAGCACATAATTTGTTTTAGTACTCACCACATATGTATGTGTTCTATCAAAGACATAAAAATCTTGACACAGCTTAATATGTTGAAAGCAAAGAACATTTTTAAACTTAAGCTGATCCTGGCATACTCCACACAACAAACTTCAAAGGCTCCTGGCCCATCAAAAAAGCGTATAAATATGTTGGCACCAACAGCTGAGACAGATGTTGTCTCCACCTCCATGCACAGGAATCTGACTGCTAATTAAATAAACCTTTTTTGACTTTGTTGAAATGGTCACTTGGGAAGTTATCTACAGCTGATGTGTCTGTAAGCTAGAGTATGGTTTTTTGCAACAGCTTCCAGCAAGTAGGAAATAGTATGCATTGTGAATATTAAAGCAAATTGTTGTTGCAACAGGAAAGTTGATTGTTCCTAAAAAAGCTGTAGAGGAATTGGTTGAATTTACAGGTGCCTTCAAACAGCAGGAATGGGAACAGAGCTGGTGTAACATGCTAGTTTTATGGAGAGGTTCTTTTTACCACTAGCAGGTAACATTGTGAGGAACGGGCCAGGAAGTGGTTGGATGTGTTTGAACTATCACAAAGCCGATGGTATTTCTGTTCATTTCTGAAAAGCCTGTTGGAAAGTATTTATGATGTCTTGTTTTTCTATGCTGTTATAAAGTCAAGTGTGC